TCTGTCCGTGTGTCTTCTGTCTCGGTCCGTGTCTGTCCGTGTGCCTGCGCCAACGGAAGCGTCTGTGTCTGTGTCAGTGTCTGTCAGTGTCCGTGTCTCCGTGTCTCTCGTTGTCTCTGCGTCGGTGTCTCTCTGTGTCTCTGTGTCTGTGCCTGCGTCTGTGCCTGTGCCCGTCTCCCTGTGCCCGTGTGCCTGTGTGCCTGTGTGCCCGAGTGCCTGCGTGCCTGTGCGCCTGTGCGCCTGTGTATATGTGTCTCTGCGTCTCTGCGTCTCTGTTTCTCTATGTCTCTGTGTTTCTGTGTCTCTGTGTCGCTGCGTCTCTGTCGCTGCGTCGCTGTGTCGATGTGTTGCTGTGTCTCTGTGTCTCTGTGTATCTGTGTCCCCGCGTCCATGTGTGCGTGCTGTCTGTGCCTGCGCCTGTGCCTGTGCCTGCGTCTGAGCCTATGCCTGAGCCTGAGCCTGTGCGCGTGCCTGCTCGTGTGCATGCGCGTGCGCGCGCGTGCCTCTTCCCAGGCCTCCCCCCCTGTCGTCCGAGCCGACCCCGTATAGATCTGGAAGATCCCCACGACGCTCATCAAGGGGCACAAGGACACACACATAAATACACACAAATAACATGATGCCCCATAGTTTCGCATATTTTCTGGGTTTTTGTCTTCCCGCCCAATTCTCATATTTTCCCATATTCGACGATTAATTGTGTCTGTGTGTTTTTTTCCACTCGTGAGCTCGGTCGGCCGACTCGGACACGCCTGTCCATGCTGAGAGCAGCACTCACCCCATGCTGAATCGGAACTGACAGAAGTGGCAAGAGAAGGCGTGACGATGTGCCCGTGCTGCTTGTCCTGCACTTGACACAGACGCCCAGCGTGGAGTACACAGTGTCGGTGCTGTTCCTTCCCCCCTAGCTGGCCATCGCTCGGACGTCCATGCCCTGTGCGTTTTTCGGTTTCGTGCGTGTTTTTTTGTCGCCAAATGATCAAGGATGCTCCTCGATGGTCCTCGCCGAAGAAAAAAACGCACACGTCCGAGCGATGCCAAGGCTACTCCCTTCCCCGAAAGGGGCGGCGATCCTTCGCCAGCTCCGCGCACCGCTTCGACCTCGGCCAGAGCTGCGATCCCCGTCGGACCCGGCAGCCACCGAGAGGCTCGCGGGCCTGGCCCGTCTGGGGAAGCTCGCCTGCCCCTGCGTGGGACCAGCAGGCTGCGTGGCGGAGGTTTCCTGCGCCCTACGCGAGTTTCAGTTCACAGTTTCCAGTGTTCTGATGCAAATGCCTGCCTCCTACTTTCAATTGTTGCTGTCCGCGCGAGGGGGGGACAGAAAACCACTCAGGACACCAAGCCCGAATCGCGTGCTAGAGATTTCTGGGAGGCCTTCTGACGGGTGAAACTACATGAGATTCGCGCCCCCGATGCAATAATCCATAGTGAGTTACTCCATCCCGAAGCCAAAGCCCCTCGTACAGTGCGGGCGCGGCCACAAGAAACGCTCGCAAGAAACCCAACCCTGAAAACCCGCGCGCGAGGTGCACCAGAGGGGAAACCGGGAGCGCCAGGAACGCAGCAGCTCTTCCAACGGCCGCGGGAAGTCAACGCGCAGCGCGCGGAGCAAAGAAACCCCCGATACCCTGACGAAAAGCATATGGTTTCTTGATGCGCGCCCCCACTGTACGTTCTATCGAATTCGGGCCACCGCAGCCAAAATTCCTTGCAAATAGGTTCGCAATCCCGACCTCGCAAAGTGCTCCAAATTCGCCCTCCCCGGGCCAGAATCTCCTGTAAATCACGGACGATTCGCGCTCCCAGGGCCAGCACCCGACACCAGATTCACGCTCCTGGGGCCATCACCGCTGCAAATTACAACGACTTCGCCCTCCCGAGGCCAGGATCCCTCATAAATTAAACCCGGTTCGCGTTACCAAGGCAAGGATCCACAGTAACTTACACCAGATTTGCGCCCCAGAAACAATACCCATGTAAATTACACCAAGTTCGCGCCCACGAGGCGACGACCCCTTGCAAATGACGCCAAGATCGCACCCCCGACGCCACGACCCCTTGTAGGTGACGTCACGATCACCAGCCGTCCTCGCATGAGGTTTCGATATTGCTTCAATTCGGAGCCCAGGCATCCCAACTAGATGCCTTCTAGATGGGGTCCGAGTCTAGTAGATGGGGTCGGAGGATCGCGCCGCATCGCCAATGCATCGCCGATGCATCGACCATGCATCGGCGATGCATCGACGATGCATCGGCGACGTCGGCGGGGTGGGGTATCGGCGACGCCGGCGCAGAGAAGTCAGGCTTCGCACCGAGCCGCATCGCCGATGCATCGGCGATGCGGTGCGATCCTTCGACCCCATCTACTCCAGATTTCGTAAGAAAGGGAGGGGGGTCTCATTTCGGGGGGGGTCTCTTCCAGGCTATCTTGGAGGGCCTGGGGGGGTCTGGGGACGATGTTTTGGAGGGTTCTCCCACGGGGGAGGTCTGAAATGGCAATGGCTTGTCTTGGAGGGTCCAGACCCCCTGCCTTTTATTACGAAAAATCTGGAGCACTTCGGCCCCATCTGAGCGACGAGGACAAACTGCCTTGCGCGAGCCGACGTGGCGACCTCAACGCCGAACTTGCACGGGCCGCCAGCGCGGCCCGCCACACCGGAAACGAGGGGGCGCCCACGCGCGACCGCACGCGCGGGCAGCTTGCGCGCCAGCCTCGGTGGAGACGAGCCCGTGGTCCCTCGCCGCTCCTCTACACCACGCGAAATGCTTGAGAAATCATGGGTTAAGAAATTCATAGTCTCAGAACTTGGAGAAAAACCCAACATTGCCATTGAAATCTTAGGATTCACATTGAAACGTTAAGAAAAATCAAGACTCTGGCCGAAAACTTGAGTTTTCTTAAGCATCGCCCAAGGTGTAGAGGCTTCCCAGATGGGGTCCGAGTACCGCAGGTTCGCGTCGTGCCGACCCCAGCGTTGGTTTTTGACACCGCAGGGATCGTTCAACCTGGAACGATCGGCCGCTGCCGCAACGTCCGATCGTTCAACATCGATCGATTCTGGGTCGCCGGCGGCGTTCAACCTTCAACGCCCGCGCTGGGGTCGCCGCTGGTCGACACGACGCAAACCTACCGTAGATGGGGTCGAAGGATCGTCCCGCATCGCAAGGCGTTGCCGATGTATCGGCGATGCGTCGGCGATGCATCGGCGACGTCGGTGCGGGGAAACACGGGCTCCACGTCGGGCCGCATCGTCGATGCGTCGGCGATGCGGCGCGATCCTCCGACCCCATCTACTCCGACCCCATCCAGGAGGCCTAGATCCTCTGGGAGTACACCACTCTGGCGTGTCCCACTCTGCCAGAGAGCAGCCGGCGGCAGAGGCCGCAGCCCTTCTGGTGCCCTCGAGCCCCAGCCGCGAAGCAAAAGGGGGCAGGCCCACGAGACCCGAGGGCAGGGCCCGCGGCCGGCGAGCCGGAGAGCTCCGGGCGGCACGGGCCGCCGTGGCCGCGCGATCGTGCGGCTCGCTCCGGGCTGCGAGCCCGAACGCGTGCCGTGCGCACCCTGCAGACCGCGGCGAGCCGCATCGGTCGATGCCGCGTGCAAGCGCCGCCACGCACCATCGAGTCGATCGAATCGTGGACAGCCCTGCCCGCGTGCTCGGCGCCGTGGCCAAAGCCCACGAAGAGGCCCCAGGACCACCACGCGGGCACCACCCTGGGAAACTTGTGCGCGTGCCAGCCGTGTGGCCCCCCCACAGGGACCGAGGCTGTATGGCCAAAACCGATGGGAAGGATGCGCGATGAGGATGCGCAGGCCCCTTGCAGCCCTTGCACGCCCGTGTCGAAGCGCCTCGAGCGGGGCCGGCCCTCGAGTGATTCAGGATGGACCGAAGGGGCAAGGACGCGTGGGCACCCTCGGGAAGGTTGCCCATCCTCAACATCGGTTTCGCCTGCACCCCGTGCAGGGCCCCCAGCCATGCAGGAGAACCCAGGACCGAATCGACAAGTCGGATCGGCGATCGGGATGAATCGGATCGGCGGAAATCGGCAGCCGAGTCGGGAAACGTCGAATCGGCGGAGATCGCAAGGCTAGTATGCCTCCAATCGGAAATCGGAATCCAGATCGGAATCCCGAGTCGAACCGAATCGGAATCGGAGGCGATCGGAGTCGAATCGAATCGAGTCGGAGGGGTCGAGACAAGCCCTGGCCATGAGGCAGTCACGGCACCAGGGCCGTGAGCCCCCGGCCCCCGACCTGCGGGGGCGGAGGACGGGGGCCAGAAGCCCGGAACGGGCTCCCAGGGGCCACACCTCGTCGGAACTGGCGCTCGAGAAGGGGTCGGAGCTGGAAGCAGCCTGGAGCCAGAACCGATGGTAGGGATGCGTGGTAGGGGTGCAAGCCCCTTGTATGCCCATGTCGGGGCCCTTCGAGCGGGACTGGCCATCAAAAGTGGTTACAAGATGGACCGAGGAGGCAAGGATGCATGGGGGCACCCTTGGGAAGGCTGCCCATCCTTACCATCGGCTTCGACTGTGCACCAGGAGCTGAGGACGGGACTCACGCACATCCACAGCCCGGGGAGCCGAGGCGGCGGTGGATGCGGATGTCCGTGGGTCCCCCTAGGTTTGGACGCCCGAAATGGGCTCGGAAAGAAGGGGTAAAATGCCCAACAACAATTGTTGTCCCAAAACGACAGCGGCCGCTGTTGGGCAGGCGGCCTTCTGTCTCGAATGGACACCGGCCGCGGCGGCGTGGACAGCGAGTCCCGTCCAAAATGAACAAGATCTGCTGTTGGGCATTGTACCCATTCTTTCCGTGCACGTTTCGGTCGTGCCGACCCTGGGGGCCCGATGTATATCCATCTCCACCGCCTCCCGGGGCCCTGGGAGATCGGAGCCCCGCGGGCGGCGGATGTGCACGAGCTCCAGCCTCAGACCGTAGGGGGGGGAGCCAGCGGGAGCCCCAGCCGCTGGGGCTGCGGCAGCTGCATGATCGCCACCTTGATCTTGGACCGCTCCGTCACGGGCTCGGGGAAGGGCACCCGCAGCACGCCTGCGCGGGGGATGGCCGCCCAGTGGGCACGGCGGCTAGGGCAGGAGCGGCACGCCTCGGCAGGGTGAAGGGAGGGGGGGCGGGGAGGGAGGGGGGGGGCTCCCGACTCGGGTGAGCTGGCCTGGCGTTTCGACATGCAGCCGCAGCTGAAGCCCGAAGCCACAGCAGAGGTCCACGGAGCAGGGGAAGGGCCCGCCCCGGAGGCTGGATTAGCAGCATTCGATGATCGGTGCACGCTCGGCAGGGCCTGGCAGTGGAGGGGGACTCAGACGGAGGAGGGTCGAGCGATGAGGAAGACGGTCGCGAACGCGCAACCTGGTGTGACACCGTACAACGCGAAGCAAGGTTCATCGAGGGTGCATTTTGACAAACGAGGGCCTGACTTGGTAGGCTGGATTTGTCAGAGGATAATCAGTGAGGCGGCAGGCAGGAAGTGTTTGAGGCCTTGGGATGGGAAGCATAAGAGGGGAAAAGGAAGGAACACTGTGGGACCCATGCAAATAGATGGAGGATGAGGTGCGTGTAGAGATATTGCGGAGAAGGTGAGCCGGGGGCCGCCCCACGCTGCCCATCCACAAGGCGACGGGGCGCGGTCTTCGCGTGCTGCAAGCTGGCTTCCGACTTGGCCTCACTCCATTCCCGATGCGCTGACGGAAACGCGGGCCGCATTGGCTGGCCGCACCGGCAACACCATCGAGTAGGAGGACATATTCGCACAAGAGTGCGGACGACGACTACGAAAACGAGTGGCACGCGTGCCCCTGGCTCCTGCACCAGGGAGCTGCGAGGGACAGGAGGCTTTCGCCTCCCACCTCCAGGAGAGGTTCCTTCCGTGGCCGCGTGGGGGAGGACGAACGACGAACGAACGAACGAACGAACGACAAACGAAAAGAAAGCGGTCAGAGCTCTAGCACACAGCGGTGCAAGAGAATCAAACTGGTATGGTGAGGACCCCGCCAGGTCGGCTCCAGCCCTCCTCGCTCTGGCCCGCCACGGCTCTCCCCCGCAGCCCATGCATGGGGCCTCAACGGGGCCTCCAGGTGGCCCCAAGATGGCTCCAGGACGTCCCGAGATGGCCTCAAGACAGCCCCAAGGTAGCCCCAAAACGCCTCGAGACGGCCTCGAGACGGCCGAAAAGGCTCCAAGATGCCCTCCAAGAGGGGTCCCGCGAATTCAACATCACTGATATTCAATGTGTTCCGAATCATTTTGACGTTCTCGCCTTTTCGGGTTTCCGTCATTCAGTGACCTCGCAAGAGGCCTCCAAGATGACCCCAAGACGTTGACATGGACGCTCGGCCTCTGCTCTTCGCAGACATCAAAGCCCATCAACCTGCAACAAGTGTGCAAAAGCACAGCCCCTTCTGATGCAAAAACACTGCTTCGCAAACCCATCCAACATGTAGATGCCGCTATGGGTCTGCGCGGCATCCATCGGGTTAAGAGCGCAATCGCACGAACGAATCCTTTGGTGATTCATCAGGAACCCGCGGTGTCATGCCCAACGCATCTCTCGGAGACCAAAAAAGCATGTATCGAACGTGCTGGGATCAACGGGCCTGCCGAATCCTGGCCGAGCCCTGATGCTTGCTTCCTTCCCTGTGCGCCGGCGCCGCCTTCTCCGCCAGCCTTGTCCTTCACGCGCACATCGAAGCCCAGACGGTCCAGCCGCTTCATCTTGGCGCTCTCGACAGGGCCGGTGCCGACGATGTACTGCACGTAGCCCTTGATGGACTCCTCCCGGCCCAAGCCATACGTACCCGTCTTCACGCGCCCTCGTCTTCATGCGGCTGCCGCTTGTCCTCGACGTTCTCCGCATCCGTCCCTTTTCCTTATGAGCAGCTCCGTTCTGTCGCATCCCCAGATCTATCGGCAGGCCGGACCTGGCGTTTCGCTCTGAGATTTCTTCACAATGTGCGACCTTGAAACTTGAAATGCGCAACATATTCAATGGAATGCGGAAAAACTACAGAAAGAAAACCCAGAGATCGCAGATGGCCACAGTACTCCCACATCGTGGCCCGATGTGCAACAACGCAGCTACTACAGTCAACCCGTATCAGAAGGACGCACGATAAGGATGCAAGGGTCTTGGAAGGCCGTTTCGAATCTTTTCGAGCGGGGCGCGGCCAGCGAAAGTGGCCAAGGATGGGCCGAGTAGGCAAGGATGCAAGCGTACCCTTGGGAAGGCTGCCCATCCTTTTTATGCGGGTTGACTCCACTATGTCTGAAGCTCCGATGCGCCGCGGGTCCACCACGCAAATACATGTCCAACAGACTCCGAACCAGGACAGAAACTCTTAGGCAACACGCGAGCTAAACAACGCTTTCCGTTGTCGTTTTGATTTCGTTGTCCCTTGTTCGGCCTCCGCTCCTCCCTTGCTGGAAAACGAAATCAAAACCATGACGGTCCACGACACCGAAAAAAACACCGTTTGGCTCGCGCGCTGCTCTCAAGGCCCTCACGCGCTGCGTACCAATCAGGGCTGCGCCTTTTTGTTCCGGACATCGCTCCACGCAAACGTCACGGTTCTCACGGTTTCCCAGGGGCGCCGTGAGACCAAGCATTTGGACGCCCGAAATCGGTACCGAAAGAATGGGTACAATGGCCAACAGCAAATGTTGTCCCAAATCAACAGCGGCCGCTGTTGGGCAGGCGGCCTCCTGTCTTGAACGAACACAGGCCGCGGCGGCGTGCACGGCGAGCCCTGCTCAAAATGAACAAGATCCGCTGTTGGGCATTGCACCCATTCTTTCAGTACCCATTTCGTGCGTGCAGAAAGCAGGGCTGCACCTCGCGCGTGAGCACCTTCCCGGGCCGGGACTTCTGGCGGTCCAGCGTGCAGCGCCCGCACGTGGGCGGCTCTCCGGGGGTACCAACTGCGAGGAGCTCCCCTGCGAGGTGCTGTCCGCCAGGACAAACACCGCACGGCCCCTGGATGGCCCTCTGGACGCCGAGCACGCGGTCAAGAGGAGGAGGGGGAGGAGGAGGAGGAGGAGGAGGAGGAGGAGGAGGAGGAGGAGGAGGAGGAGGAGGAGGAGGAGGAGGAGGAGGAGAAGGGAGGAGGAGGAGGCGGAGGAGGAGGAGGAGGAGGAGCAGGGGTCAAAAGGCCCCTGTCGCGCCTCCCGGCCGCAACGCGCCCCTGCGCTTCCCGAGGTGCGCATGCCTGGGCGGACGAGCGGAGGGGCCCTGAAGTCGGGCTTTGCTTTGATTCGAGAGGGGCACGCGCGATAACACAAGATAGGGGGCCACATGCGAACCCTACCCCTACCCCTACCCCCCACGATTTCTGAGGGGGAGGGTGGGGTTCACTTCGTTCAGGAGCTCCCGAGCGAAGTGAACCTCACCCTCCCCCTCAGAAATCGTGGGGGGTAGGGGTAGGGTTCGCATGTGGCCCTCTACAAGACCTTCCGAGGGTCGCACTAACCTACAGGGCAGTTTTGTTTAATACATTGGATGTTTAAACATCTAGGATTTGTAATTCATGATTCATGTATAAATGTATGCATGAACCCATCGTTGTTTTTGAATACTGAGTCCCTGCATTTTTTTAACATGATCAGCACGCGGAGCATGCATTTGAAACGGCACTGTAGGAATGTCAAGGCACGGGTCGCGAGACACAGGGCACAAGGGCAACCTTGACTCCGCAGAGTCGCCCAACTCATCAACCTCGACGGTGCGGGGGGGGGTCAGCGAATCGGCCCACGCAGCTGGTTTGTCTGGCACCTCCACGCGCCAGAGGCGGCCATGTATCGAGCAAGCCTGCCGGCGACCGCACGCAGAAATGTTCGCACACCCTGTTTGCCCTCCCCAGGAAGTGGCCAGCATCCGTTGCAAGTGGGTTCGAGAGTCCCGCTGTGCCACTCCGTCCTCGTGGTCGTCGTTCATGTGCCTCATCACGGGCTCCGCGAAGGCAAGGCAGGGGTCGACCGCCGCTTTCGCGTACATCTGCCGGGGCGAGCGAGGAAGGAGGACACCACCAGGAAGGGAATGATAAAGAGGTGGTTGGGCGAGTCGAAGGGAGACCGACAGAGAGACGAGGATTACAGAGGTGACGAAAGAGACAAAGGAAGAGAGAGACAGAGACACAGAGAGAGCGAGGTATCAAACAAACATGCATACCTACATGCAACTATATATAGATATGCGTCTACTTATATATACTAGAACCATCGCGCGCGCTTTGCGCGCGCTCAGCTTCTAGCTGGCCCCAGGCCTGACGAATTCACTGCTCCACTGAAAAAGTGGACCACAGTCCACGCATGCCAATCCGCATTCCCAAAGGCTTTCGGGGAAAATGGTTGCGAAGGGGGGCGAGGTCGGATGAATCGGGTTCCTAGAAGGCCTTCTGGGAGCATGGGTTTGGGGGGCGTCTTGGGAAGCCTGGTGGGGCGTGCCGTCGTCGTCGTCGTAATGTCGTCGTCGCCTGTTGGGGCGCCTCGTCGTCGTCGTCGTCGTCCTCGTCTTCGTCGTTTCGTCGTCGTCGTCGTCGTCGGTTCAACAGGGCACTTGTGGCAACTTTGTGCGGAACGACCTGCGGAGGGCCGCGAGAAGGCGATCAGTCATGTTCCCAGTCAATTTCCCAGACAGCTCTCCTGTAGCATGTTGCTACTTCGAAGCCTCCAAAGACTCGCGGGCCCATGATGAACCATGTCCCCAGAATGCTTTCTGGGGACATGGTTTGTTAGGGTGTGTTTGGGGGCCTGTTGGGCGTTCCCTCGGGGCCCCTTGGGGGCCTCCGGGAACTCTCGGGCCCATGGTGAACCATGTCCCCGAAGGCTTTCTGGGGACATGATTTCTTAGGGTGTGTTGGGGGGCCTCTTGGGCGTTCCCTGGGGGCCCCTTGGGGGTCTCTTGGGGCTTCCAGGGGGCCTCTTGGGCGCCTCACGGGGCTTCGTGGGAGCCTCTTGGTGGCCTCCGGGGGCCTACTGGCGGCCTCTAGGGCCAGAGACCTCGTAATATCGGGGGGCGGTCCCCCTCTGGGCCCCCTCTTGGGGAGCTCTTGGGGCACACTTGGGTTGATTTGTTGGGGTGTCGTTGGGCGCCTCCGGAGGGTTCGGGGCCTGACGCGTTTCCGCACGTGGCTGCGGGTAGCGCTGCTTGGGACTCTCGTTTTTTTCCGGGCAGGCGTTTAGGGAACATGGTTTGGGCAGATGGCGGAGGGCAGAGGGAACATGGTTTGGGCATAGAGCGACACGTATGATTGCCCACTCCACTATCTGAATGCACGATACAACACGTTCAAGTGGTACCCGTGATGATTTCCAAATGAGAGGCCAGCCAAGGTAAGTAACTGAATAATCGCACCAGGGCAACACCTCAGTTTACGACACCGAAGCTTGCTCAGGTCAGGTGGTGGCATTCCATTGCATACGACTCGATTGCAACACCTCTCGTATTGCTTGTCGTATAGCAGGGTCAGACACAGAAAAAAGAATAAGACACTCCTCCAATGTATGGTTTCACATGTCTGCTGCAACCTCGGCGAAGCTCACCAATCTCCGCGTACCTGAGGCCATTGACCTCGCCGTCGTCAGTATTTGCCGAACAGGCTTCTGCGCGGTAAACTCGGCCAAGCCGAGCATCCGTCTTGAGAGGAAGTGCTAGATTGCACTTCGTCACCTTCCTCATCCGCAACTTGTGCGAGAGGGAGAGAGACAGAGAGAGGGAGAGCAGCAGAGGAAATGCAGGAGGGAGAGAGGCCGATGGGGAGCGAAGGAAGATGCAGGAGGGCCGTCCTCTGGCGTCACGCTGCCCGCTCTGGCGAACCCGCCCACGAAATCGACACTGAGAATCTTGTCCATGCGGTAGGCCTTGAAGTCGCCTCGCCCTCCCCCCTCTTACTCCCCCCCCACTCCTCTTTCCTCTTCCCCTCCCAGTCCACCTTGCTCTCCCCCTCCAACTCTCCCCCACCCACAGTATCTCTCCCCCTTCTCCAGCTCTTTTTCTCATCAATGACTCTCCCACCGCGCAGGCAGGGCCGAGCGTGTCGCTTAAGACATCCTTGCAGTTTACGGTCCTAGAATAAGAGACACCAACAGATTCAAGGATGGAGTGCTGGTTGCTTTTCAAAATGTTGCCAAGGCCTAAGCACACCGCCCATTCGTCTCAAAAGTTTGCAGCAGGTTCAAGGACAAAGGATGAAGGGCTGGCTAATTTCAAAATGTGGCTCTCGCCTTTGCGCCGCGCACGTGCGTCTCACGAAGTTGTAACAGCATCATGGATGGAAGGTGCGTTTCCCTTAATGCGGCTCTCGCCTTGGCGTCATGCACATTCGCCTCAATAGTTTATAACAAATTGAAAGATGGAGGCCAGCACATCTTCACAATGCGTCTCTCGCCTGGGCACCGAGCACATTTGTCGTAAAAACTCGCGGCAGTTACAAGGATTGATGGCGGCTCATTTTCAACATGGGGCTCTCGCTCGAGCTTTCAGGAGCGCATTTCTTTATGTTCGGCGATGACGGGCGTCATGGGGGGGGGGAGGGCGGGGGGGGGTATGACGTGACCCCCCACCCCGCCGTGTGGCTCCGGCACCACAGCCGCGCCCGCGCGCACGACGCGACGAGCGACGAGCGACGAGCGACGAGCGACGACGACGACGCGAGCAGCATGTAGGTGGCGATCTGCCCATTGCGCCTGTGTACACCACAACGGTCGCGTGCACCACACCGCGCGTGTGCACCACAGCGCCTGCGTACACCGCAACAGCCGTGTGCAACGCACCGCCTGTGTATACCACAATACTTGGGAACACTACACCGCCGGTGTACATACACCCCAGCGGCCATGTGCAACACAACGCCTGTGTACACCACAGTGCTCGCGTGCACCGCAGCGCCTGCGCACGCTACAACGCCTGTCTACACCACAGCATCCGCGTGCAACGCAGCGCTGGTGTACACCACAGTGCCTGCGTTCATACGACAAGTAGAAGGAGCATGTACATCAGGCGCTGCTGCGGACAACTTAACACCACGCCAGGAAAGTTCTGAGAATCGAATGCGACGTGTATCCCTCCTCACTCCTCCTCCACCTCCTCCTCCTCCTCCTTCTCCTCTTCTTTGTCTTATTATTCTTCTTCTGCTTCTGCGTCTGCTTCTGTTTCTGCTTATGTTTCTGCTTCTGCTTATGCTTCTGCTTATGCTTGTTATTATTATTCGTTTTCCTCTTCTGTTTCCTCTTCTTATTATTATTATTATTCTTATTATTATGCTTCTTCCTCTCCTCCTCCTCCCCCTCCTTCTCATCCTCCTCCTCTTCCTCCTCCTCCTCCTCGTCCTCCTCCTCCTCCTCCTCCTTTTCCTCCTTCTTACCCCCTGTCGTGCGGCTTGGCGTTGCAACGCGCGTGCGCATCTCAGCGTGCACCGCAGAAATGTCGATTGAATCGGTCCACTTGGATCCCGGACGGCCAGTTTAGCTGGACCCTCCTGGACGCAAATGGGAGTTAGGGTGATGCGGGCGGACTCGGGGGACACGTAGATTCTAGCGGCGCTCCTTTGTCCATGAAGATGTGCTTTCCATTGTTTACTCCGGAATCCACACGCGCCCCATTTTGTCACAAGGATTCCTTCTGGAATTCAATACACAACCATGGTGCTGTGTTGCCCACGGCTGATGTGGTGCACACAGGCGCCGTGGCGTACACAGGCACTGCAATGCACGCAGGCATTGTGGTGTACACCGGTGCTGTGTTGCGCACGGCTGATGTGGTGTACGGAAGCGCTGTGGTGTATACAGGAGCTGCTGTGCCCGCAGGCACGGTGGCACAAACTGGCGCTGTGTTGCACGCGGCTGCTGTGGTGTACATCGGCGGTGTGGTGTACACAGGCGCTGTGGTGCACGCGGGCACTGTGACGTACACAGGCCTTGTGGTGCATATCGTCACCTACATGTTCGTGCTACCCGTGCTCCGTCATTCCTAAGCATTCCCAGACGCCGCCGGCGCGAAACGTGACGTCATCGACCCCCTCCCCCCCAGATGATTGCCGTCATCGGCCCGGACTCAAAAACAGGCTCCAGTCGCGTCCGCGCGCACGACGACGATGAGCGACGAGCGACGAACCACGAGCGACGACGACGGACGACGACGACGACGACGCCTGCGGACCAGACACCTATGCGGATTCCTACGTGGACACCTACGCGGATCCCAATGCGCACGGCGGCAGTGCCCGGAGCGCACTGGGGGGGGAGCGTAACGTCATAGGGGGGGGGGAGCGGGGGCCATGACGCCCGTCATGCCCCATGCAATAAAGAAACGGGCTCCAGGCGTGAAAGACTAGAATCTTGCGAAAGGGTGTAACAGCTGCACGGGCGAAAGCTGGTTCCTTTCGAAACTGCACGAGTCGGCGTGCAACCTTGTGTCCTACTTACACGCATGGGGGGGCCGGCTCTTCTTCCAAAAATCCAAAACGGAGCTTTCGCTGGACGGCACGGCAAGGTGCGCGGGCAGGAAGGGGAGAGTAGGGCCCGAGGCCCGCGGGAGGCGGTGCGGAAGCTGCCGAGCAGCGACCAAGCCTGACCCGCGCGGACAGGATGGCAGGAAGAAGCAACAGGCGCAGGCGCATGGAGCTGGCGCCGACACCAGCCAGCCGAAAGCGCCGAAAACCAGAGAGGAGACGGCCAGCTACAAGGCAGCAGCGGCCGAGGCACTGCAGGCATCGTCGCACCCCGGCCGCGGCAAGCCGGCCAGGACCAGCGATGGACCCGCCCCGCCTGGGCGGCTCAAAGATGGAGTCCTGAGGGATGGAGTCCTGAGGATAGGAAGCGGTTCGAAGGTTGGCTGTGCGTGGTTTGAGGCACCTCGTCCTCAGGACCCCATCCCTCGGGACCCCATCTTTTTTACCAGCCTCGAACGTATCCCTATCCCTAAGATTGACACGCCGAAAGGCGATGACGATATTAGGGATTCGCCCTCAAAAAATAAGGGGGAATCCCTGAGATTGG